GAAAAATCTTGTATAATGTATGCTACTTATGATAACAGGCCCAGTATGAGGTTGAAGTTCATAGCTCGTTTCGTCTTTGCCGTTGCGATTGGACCACTAGCTCAGTACCCTATCAGTAGCAGAGACTGGGTCAAACACAGCGCTGGTCTTCTCTGTTGTCCTCCTTGCTACAGAGTTCATTTGAGGATCGTAAAGCATAATCATTCATTATAGTCACTGACCTATTTTTATTCCTAGTTGATTAACCCATTAAGGGCTTGCGCTTCCGAAACCATGCTGTTAAGGCTCTTGAAGCATACTTCAACATACTAACGTATTTCGCAATGAAACGGTCTTAGACGGAAGAAATTTGAAATTGAATAGAAATGCGACAGGAATTATGAGACAACCCAATAATATGTTTCACTTGGCACATCCACATCGAAAATAGTTTTGGCATCCACTACAGAGAAAAGGACTGAAGTTTCCTTTTTCATTACCATTACACGTTCTTTTGATCGGAATTTCGCACTACATCTCGATTATCTTCTACGCATTGAATATTGCTGAAATGGTTTTGCACCAGTGGTCGATGTCAGACTTTGCGATTGGAGCGATTTTGCACCAATTGCAGGAGCGACGGGTCGCTCCTGCAATTGGTGCAAAATCGCTCCAATCGCAAAGTCTGACATCGGCCAGTGATGCTTTCCAGAGTTATCGGTCAATATTTACGATTGCTAGGTGCGGCGGCCGCGCTCGCAATATTGTCCCTGTCCCACGTGGCCAAAAAAACCAAAACGCGCGCTGTCGTCAATGTGTTCAACAGCTTTTATAGCACACATTTTTTCGCCACATCGTAGGCAACCCATCTTTGCGCAACCGCATGTTTATTTGTTTTGGAAACCTTGCTTTGTAGCTTTACCCATTCTGTTATACTTTTTAAGCATATCCTCAAGGTGTAGGGGTGGGGGTTTTCTCAAGGACTAAACCTAGGAGGGGTGAGGAAGTCTGGGGAAATGAAATCATACACGCGCTTGTAGTCTCTTCTTCTTCTCCCTAGCGTTAGTCCCGCGCAGTCGCAGGGTCCGCTGTCTTTGTCAGTCGTCGCCACTTTGCTCTGTCCAGGGCATCTTCTGCTGTGGCCATGACTTCACTTAGGTCCTTCTTGATCACGTCTCTCCACCTCTTCTTGGGGCTCCTCGCGGTCGCTTGCCTTGCACTTCGAAGTCCATCGCTGTTCTTATCGGATGATCCTGTGGCCTCCTTAGCACATGCCCATACCATCCAGACGCTGTTCCCGTACCTTCAGCTGGACTACGTCTGCATGACCGTTCTGTGTGCCGGCAAGTCCTTGTAGTGACGGCTCTGCCTTTATTGTCGTGTTTAACCGGCTGTACAGTCTGCGCGTCCAGGCTGTGAGGCCTCCTCCAGTATCTCATCTGAGGCGGAGTGAAGTGCCTTTGTTTTCGTGGTCTTCAGCATGACCAGGCGACTCGCCTGTCCTGTATAGCAAGGCGCAACGTAGACTCTGACTACTGTTTGCAGGGTACCCTCCTTGTGAAGCCGCTCTGGAGCGTCTTCGATCGCAGAGCGGATTCCTGTGGACTCCCATCCATTTCATTCCATTGCAAGGCATTTGACTCGAGCCTTCAGAGTCTGAAATTCCTACCCACCTGTGTCGTCTGCCAGATCTGCTCCTCTAATTCATAGAGGCGGAGATCCTTCCACTCGTTTCCACGTGTCTCAGACCGTTTTCTGTACCCCTGATAGTGTCTGCACCTCTCGGAGCTCAAATAAAAGTGTTTTCTGACATTTCTACCCGAAGCCCTACCTAACTGCATCACTTGTTCACCTGGCTTTGAAGTTACTTCTCTGCTATCCACATATCAGGGCTAGATGTCAGTCAGGCCGTACGAGGATTGTGTCATTCAGTGGTCCCTCTGAGGCCACTTCACATGGTATCGAGCGCAGGTATGGAGAACGAAAAGGGGCTCATGAGCTGTACGCTTGTATGCACCTCAACGCGCTGATGGTTTCTCGCTTTGTCAGCCGTGAGGGAATGCCGTATCGCGCGCTGGCTCCTTCGTACGATGTCCTTCACGCTAGCGAGATCAGGTGTTCTGGCACGTTCCGTTCCCTAAGCGCTCTCCATAGTACCGCTCGTGGTAGCCGGTCGAACGCCTTCTCCAGGTCGAGGAAGGCTAGGTAGCAGGGTCGGCGCTTTTCTCGATACTTCTCCATCACTTGCCTTGCGATGAAGATGGCATCCGTTGTAGACCTTTCGGGCATGAACCCGAACTGTTCCTGGGAGATCGGGACCAGCTCCCGCAGTTTCGAGTCGACCAAGCGCTCGTACAGCTTCCAAGCTGGTGAGCCACCTCCCCCCGTGCTCTCCCAGGGCCTTCCAAGCCTCTATGGGTGCTCCATCCGACCAGCTGCCTCCCCAACCTTTATTCGTCCAAGTGCACACCTAACCTCATCCTTTAGTCCAGAGTGAGCTGTGGCCTCTGCCCGTGAGTTGTTCTCGTGGGGGAACTCCTCGTTCAGAAGTGCACTGTAGTACTCTTCCCACCTCCTCTTGACTTCGGCTGGCTTTCTTAGGATGACACCATCGCTGCCTTTTACACTTTTCACCACCCTGATGTCTTGAGTAGCGCGATGCCGGGCCTTAGCCAGCCTGAAGACGAACTTCTCTGCGTTTCTGCTTTCCAACTTCTCGTACAAGGCGTCCATTTCCGTGTTCTTCGCCTTGGCGACAGCAGCCTTAGCGAGCCTCTTGCAACTCCTGTAGGTGGCGAGGTCTTCGGGGCTCCGGGTCTTCTGCCAGCGCTTGTATGCTTCCTTCTTCTGCTTCACGACTCGCTGGACCTCCTCGTTCCAGAACCACGCTGCCTTGTCTCCTCTGAATCCACCTCGCGTCTCGCCCAGGACCTTGGCACATCGCAGGATGGTATCAGCCGCGTTGCTGCCCCAAGTCCGCTGTATTGGCCCGTTAGGATCTGGGAGACCGACTTCCATTATCTTTCGCCTGAGGTCATCCTTCTCCGCTTGGTGCAGCTTCCACCACCGGATTCTCCTCTCGGTTCTTACCCTTGTCTTCTTGGGGAGGTCTATCGCAATGTCTGCCAGGAGGGGCCTGTGCTGGGGAGCCAGATCTTCGCCGGGTAGAACTTTGATATCCTTCACAGTTTTGAGGGTTGATCTTCTTACCAGCACATGGTCGATTTCCGTCTGTCTCCCTCCACTGCTGTAGGTTACCTTTGAGTCTCCCTTTTTCGCGAAGAACGTGCTGCAGACTGCCAAGTCGTGGGCTGTAGCCAGGTCCAGAACCCTCTCTCCCTCAGCGTTCCTCGTTCCTATCCCTCTACCTCCGTGCACTCTTTCTAAGCCTCTTCTGTCACTACCGATGTGACCATTCAGGGTCACCTGCTATGGTCAGGTAATCATCTTCCGGAACCGATCTTATGGCTTCGTCCAGGCTCAGATAGAACTCGTCCTTATCACTTTCGGGGCACCCGGCTTGCGGTGCGTACACGGAGAGTATGGTCCAGTACCCCTCCTTCGTGTCTATCCTCACAGCCATGATCCGATCGCTGATCCTGTTCACAGCGGAGACATAGTCCTTGAGCGACTCCGCTACCGCTATGGCCACGCCGTTCCGCTTGGTGTCTTCTCCATTGTAGTAGAGCTTGACACCTTCCCCGATTTCCCTGGCCTTAGCACCTTTCCATCGCGTCTCCTGAAGGCATAGGACTTGGATATTCCTGCGCGTCATCAGATCAGCAACCTCTCGGGACTTCCCAGTTAGCGATCCTACGTTCAGAGTCCCAATTCGAACTAGCTTCTTTGGCCGAGGCCGTTCACTCCTCGGTCAAACTAGCTAGTTCGAATTGGTACTTGAACATAGGATCGAGCTAACTCCTCGGTAGCCCTCGCATACTGACCACAGAACTCGGGCGGGGGTTCTGCGCGCCACTTCCGGGTGACGTCCTAGCTTTATCACTGATTCTTTTTCGACTTTAGACATATTTGTGTGACTGGGGTCTTCATCAGCCGGCCTGTCAACCTGGGCCTGACGCTGGTACTAGAACCATTTTTGCAATTTTTGCAAGGCATGGTTAAGCCTCGGCAGGGATCGAACTCGCGGTTTTTCAGAGGTGCAGACATGAGTCTAACCTCTTAACCACTCGGCTATCCCTGCCTATGTAGTCTCTATCTCCCATTAATCCTAAAACTGACTTCGTATAACAAAAAAATGTTGGCTGCTTTTTTAAATGCGTTGCTGCCACAAGTCCTCCCCCCTTCCCTCCCCACTTTCGCGATATTTTAATTTGTAGCCTGCTTTGCATTAATTTATTGTGATAAAATAGAGAGGCTGAAATAGCATGTTCAATTTTTCTTTTTTCTTCAAAATTACGGTGTAATACCGCAAATAAATGGGGATAGTTCATCCATTTGTGAACTAACAAGAAATAAGTTTTGTTGAATTTGATCATCGTTACATCTGTAGGCACTGCGCTGCTCCCGTAATTGAGTATATTTCAGCACCCTTCATGTGCCATTTAAACCAACGTCGGCCAAGATTGAACCTTTGGGTCCGCGAGACCTGCTGGCAAGAGGAAAGCAAATACATCGCCTCCTGTTGACTTATAAAATTCATGGTATGTTTTAGAGAATCTGTCGTGTTAGTGTTAAGTCGCGTTCATAGTTTGCGATTCTGCGATCGTATCGTTTTTCATCGAGTAGATACGTACCGATCATGCCATTGCAAGGGCGCACGATCGCTATGTACCTCCTCCTTACTCAAACCGCGAACGAGGTGCAAAGCACTAGTCAAGTTAGACCGCATTTTTATGTTCATTTCACTGTTTTTTTTAGTCTCAAAATCCTGTGAAATTCGTCTCGATTTGCCAAATGTAACCTCGTACCTTTATGAGTCTCCTTATGACTGCATACTGGTTCAGTTGTTCTCTTCTACGAAAGAATATATTGGTGGTTCAAGCAGTTATCCTGAAAGGGTATGAGTTGACTCAAATCTAGCTCTTTTCGCGTGTTAATGTTGAACTGTTGCAGTACTCTTTCAAACTGGAAAAAGGTGAATATGTAGCACAGGTGGAAGTTCGACATCCTGACACGAGCCAACTGGAGCTTTTAACAGATACTCCTTTACAGTATGTCACCTTTTCTAGCCCTGTTCCAATATTGATGAATTGGGGTTCTGTTTTAGTGTTCGAGTACTCATAAGTCCGACTTTGAATGTTGACCTCAGCTCTACACCGCTTGGCGGAGAAAATGGTATCCGTTCCTGTTTTCTCATTAAAATTTCACGCACTTCATCGATTTTCAGCATACAAATGGGCGAACAAACACCTCACTCCGTCTCAGCAGGTCACTTTGTACGCTGGTAGTATCCCTGATGACAAGTTAGTTTTGCACCGTGTATTCTTTTGTTTTATTTCTGTACCTTGTATTATTTGGGTTTAGGTTGCCCAAGACAATAAATATCGTGAGCGGATCGTACATGACAGGTAGCTTGGTCGTGATGAGCAATAGTGGAAGCAAGGCGGTGAGGAAATGACGATGTTTCATTTTGTTTAGACAGTGGGATCGATTTATAGCTAGTCTAGCACTTTTGATTTGTGTTGTCTCGAGGTAGCGGTTTTCATCTCTATTAGTCTCAAATTTTTGAATTTTCTCATTCCGTAGTAATCTGGCTTAGTCCGTAGTAGTGATCCTACGCCATAAGTTCTAATCCGGATCAATTCAACAAATCAGATATGATTACTCAGATCTTGATTGTGTTGGGATTTATGAAGAGGAGATAGATGAAACATGAAGATTCATGCACAAGAAATGAGCTGGCCCTACCCCGGGTTTTGAGATATCCCTCATATGGATACCCGACAGAGGCGGCTCGAGGGGAGACGAGAAGAAGGGACGCAGAAGGTTCAGCGGACGGAGTCGCAGCGCGCACTTGCAGTGATTTCAAGTTTAAAAGGACTACATAGACGGCCTATATACTCAGCATCGCGCTGCGTTTCGTTGCTGAAACCGGTCGTCCTTCTCTGCTTCTTCCGCCGCGACGGGGCCTTTGTCTTGAAACCCGTCCCATATGCAACTGATCTTGCCTACGAAATATTACCATTACACATAAGGGCCACTTAGCAGAGGGGGGGAGCACTCTCATTTATAAACTTAGGGAGCAGATGACTGGCATTCCCATATCATCGCAAAACTGTAATGCAGGGTATGCCAGCAAAGCCAGCGGATGCCAGTCAACAGTCTCCGCCGGTTTCGTAGTAACTCCTGCCCAATAGTTCTGTTATCCTCAGTGTAAATTGTTTCAGGTTGACAAGACTGCAATCACCTACATTTTTACCGAATACAGTACCCGCCCAAGCAAAGCTCTTTCAATGGTGACATTAAAGGAAAAGAAACCTCATAATGAAGAAGAAGAAATGAATGGTAAGTGTGTATCCTTCGATATCGTGCTTTGTTTGCAAACGGAGGTGCTGTTTGTGTTCTGTGTAGTCCCATTTGCAGTTTTCCGGAGGGATGGAGTTTTTGAGGGTTTGGGGACATTTTTTTCGAAACACGAGTTTTTGAGCTTTCAGCTGTAACAATTATTTTGAGGCAGCAGAGCATAGGTCAGCTACATTTTTTGGGGCTTTCAACAGGTGTTGAAACTATTTTGAAAAATCATTTGAGCCCAAAAATAGTCCTGTTTGCAGTTCTTTTGACACTTTCTGAGCCATTTTCGTGAGAATGCTTGTTTTTGACGTTCCGGTTGTTGCACTTTGTTTTGTGTGAAAATATAAGTGCGTCAGAGAGCGGTGAGAATTGGATATTCTAAAAGAACTGAAACGGTTCTGGAAATCCTCTCCCTGCAAAGTTGCTTCTCTTGTCGAAATTTAGTTTTTATTGTGAGCTCAGTCCTATCATGTTTTTGCATTTTTCCTCTTCTTTTCGTCATCATCTCATCATCATATTCTTCTTCTTCCTGCGTTTCTCGCGCAGTCGCAGGAGTTCGCTGTCTTTATCAGTCGTCGCCACTTCGTCTTATTTGTCCAGGGCGTCTTCTGCTGTGGCCGTGACTTCACTTAGGTCCTTCTTGATTACGTCTTCCACCTTGCTTTGAAGCCTCTCGCGGTCGCTTGCCTTAGGCTCGGAGTGCATTGCTTTCCTTACAAGGTGATCCTGTTGGCATATGTCCATGCCATCTTAGGTTGTTCCCGCATCTTTCAGTTAGACAGGGGCAGTCTGCATGACCGCTCTAACATCCTCGTTTCTGACTCTGTCCAGTCGCGTCCAGCCGCAGGCCCATCTCAGCATCCTCATTTCAGTGG